GGGGGGGGGGGAGTCGGGAAGACTATTGATACTATCGAAAACTGTGTCGTCGATGAAAGCGAAGATAAGGGAGAGAGTCGAAAGATAAAAGAAAAAGAATTTTCCAAGATTTTTCATTCTCACATACTCTACTTTTATCGAATTTGTAGCAAACCTAATTTCATGTTTTTACTCACATTCCTATTCCGCTCATACGTCATTTTCCCCATCAGAGCAGAGTCCAAATCCGATAAAGCAGCGAAAAAAATAAAATAAAAAATTATACGTAACGAGAAAAGATTTTTTAGTTCATTTTTAATTTATTTGTAATTTCGAAAAAAAAATTCCCACTCGGATTTTACTCCTTGTGGGCTGCTCGTATTCAGTGTGCCAACTGTAGGTGCGAAAAGCCCTAAATTATTACGCAGAGGTTCAGGTGTTCGTATAAGCCGCATAATCCGGAAACGTTAATCAGCCTAATGGTCAAGGCGTTGCCACTTCCGTCTGCGCATGCGCAAACGACCCATACGAAACGTGCGTAAGGAAAACCAGCGAGTGACATTTCGATTTGACAAAACTAAAAATTGGTCTTTGTAAGTTTTGCAGTTAGTAAAAAAAAAAATTGCATAAATTGGCGGATGCACAATAACATACTGTTATATGGTGTACACATAGTATATCTGTATATGGACTTAAAGAAGATAATATATATGAAAAAGAAAAATAAAAAATAAAAAATGAAATTTTAAAAGCACTTCGTTACAGTTTTCTCTGATTTTGTCCTTTTTTTCCTTCGTTCTCGTTTTCATTCGCTTTTCCAGGACAATGGAAAAATCTCGAAATGAGAAACGCCCACTGCTAGCATCTCGCGGTTTACACTCTCGCACCACCATTACCCACCCTCTCTCTCGCTCTTAGTCTTTTGACATATCCACCCTCTGCTTGTCTTTCGCCAGCCCCTATTCTTCGTCATGCCCCCAACGTGCTGTAGGAATTGCATTTAAAAAAAAGAGAACCAAGAAAAGAGATGCTTGGGAAAGATATTACAGCGGGGAAAACGAGGACACCGTATGAATGAAGAACATTGCGAATATCCACGTGGTAATTGCAAAAATTACGTGATAATATATTTTTCCCATTTTTTTTTGGTTTTCATTTTTTTTTTTTTCAAATCACCGTTTCTTCCTCTCTCTTGACTCTAATCGGAATTTTCTTTCTTGCATGTTTCAGACGCCGACTAAAAAATCCGACTCAGGGTCGAAAATGCTGGAAATTCGAGCTGACGAAGAAAAATTTGCCAGGGTACTTTAGACAGATTGCGTAATCGCAAAAAGTAGGGTGAGTATTGGATAAATAATTTTTGAATTTTCAATCAATTAGCGCTTTCCTAAAATTTCATTGAAAATTCATCCCCGCTTGCGTGATCGGTGGTAGTGAAAAAAAAAATTTTTATCCCCGTTACGCAATTTTTTGTACGGCACTGAAAAATTGCATTCGCGTACGCTGTTCGCGAATTTTTTTTTCTCTACGAGCGGGCATCTTGATTTCTTCCGAAGACGCATATACACGGTGTCTCCACTGATAATAATTCTCATCCAAGATAAATTTTCCGAGCACCGCATGTAGATATATTCATAACGGCAAAAAGTTGCATCTTCCGCAGAAATATTTCGTCCTCAATAATTCATTCTCAAACTCCATCCATAATTCATTTCGCATTTACGTGCTTGCAAAAGCATACAGCTGTACCCATTCGAAGGATATCGTCGAGTGATCTTTGCAAATACATTAAACGAGTAAAATAAATAATGGAGGAGCAACCCCCATTCCGTGGCTGTTTTACCTCCTTTGGGAAAAATGAATCGAAAGTATCTTGAAAAAAAGAAAAAAAAAAAATTCTTAAACTTTCGTCCCCTCCCCACCACCCTATCGCGATGGCATAACGAAACTCATTAAGGAGTCCGAGGCTCGTTAAGACCAGGTGGAAAGTTGCATGTGCGCATGCGCGCCAAGTTATTATTATTTCACGCTTTTAATTACAGGGGTTTGAGATATACGTATAAATCTTTTTTTGAATTAGCCTGGGGCGGCTAGATAGGGGTCGAACGTTCACGTGGGAAGAATCGCGTGCGGGAAGGAACAGTGACGGAAGTTTAAAAAGAAACCCCTTAAGCGTGTTTTTACTCAAAAAGTAAAAAAAAAAAAATTGTGGCACGCGGGGGAATTAATTCACACGAAGTCTTGCGGCAGGTTTGCCGCACGAAAGGAGGATAAGGCAGGGCAATAACGCACGAGGTGGATTTAGGCGGAACTTGCAAAGCTCCTTCTGTCTGAGCTTTTCTCTGCTTATATCGTAAATTGTCGAAATTATCCCGATAGCTATTTACGCAATTCCCTTGTTGCGATCAGCAGGAGCTTATTTCGGCGTAAGCTAGAAAAAAAGCGATGCTCGAGCTTAAGTTTGGGAAAATTGAGAGGAGAAAGAAATATAAGAAAATTGCAATTTACTTTGTTAGGGACGAGTGGCCGGAAAATGAAATTAGAACGTAATTTCATTTCCCGTTTGGTTTCTTCTTATTTTTCTTTATCAGCTCGAGGATTCATTTCTGTTTCGTTTTCGGATAAAACGATATTACGAGACGAGACGCGGAAGCGAGAGAGGCCGAAAACGCTACGATAGCCGTCCCAAGAACGTTAGGCACTGGACTGTAAAATTCAGGGGGTTGATATTAGGGGTGGTTTTTTCACCCCCTCTGGCCCGCTCGCAGAACGGATTAGGTACGCTGGAGCAGAAACCGAAGAAGGGCAAAAATGTCCTCATAAATTTGACACAGGTGGAGCGGGCTGGTTTAAGAGGGTGGCTGTGAAACGCGACGTAATGAAAGAGAGGGATGGAAATAGCGAATAAAAGAGAATAGAGAAAAAAAATACTTCCGGAAGTAATCATCCTGATCTCAGTCAGCGTACAACTATACCTTGTACTACGTGCTTTGAAATTTTGGGGGATGAAAAAAGAATTAGTGTAAGGGGTTGAATTTATAAACACAGCAGACCGAATCGAGAGTGATACGTTGAGAAAGATGGTCGAAGGGAGGGGGTTGCAAAAAATCAGCTTGCAAAGTCAATGGACCAAACGAGATGAATCGTGACAGTGCCTAGCTACACTATAGAATAAAAATTGTTGTGCAATTAGCATTTTTCGAAAACCTTAAGAGAATTTGGACAGAAGACAGGACTGGATAGGAGAGTCTGGTCTTTTAAAAATTTAAATTTCCCGCGCTTCCCCAGTAACAAACATTAAGAGAATTCCCAGCACGTTTCTTCTATCCATATAAAAGTTTGAAAAAGTAACCACCGGTGAGCAATTAATGAAAAAAATGTTCCGCCTTTGTCTCCAGGTGAAAAATGTCGATGACCGGAAGCCTGATGGGCTACGAGAACAACAACGAGGTGAACCAGGCCAAGTGCAAGAAGCCATTAAAGCCACTTCCCGTAGTGACGAGCGTAAATGCTACAGGCGTCACCAGTACGAGTAAAGTACGAAGATCTCGGGCCCCATCGAAACGCGAATCTTGCATACGTGGACACGTGAACAGTCTATGGTCTGTTTGGTACGGCGTCCTCGCCGTGGCGCTGCAGGCGTACATAGCTATCAGATGCGCCAAAAGATTTGTTGGTAGGTATACGTATATGAATATTCTCACCAAGTAAAAAACTTAAGATCTCCATGTACCTGAGGTGCACAATATTTATTTTATCCCCTTTTTACCTCGTTCTCAAAATTTCTTGAGGATACTTATACCGGGGATGACCAAGCGTTAAGGGATGCCTGAGAAAATGACGAAGACGAGGAAACTCGATGGAACATAAAGTATAATGAGAGAAATGTCATTGCGTACCTTAATTAAGGTACCTTCAATTAGAGGACCTTCCTTGCCACTCCTTGATAACACGTTGTGCTTACATAACCTGGGGTTCCGTTAACAACGTAACTTTCGTCACTTTCCTACATCCCCTAACCCCTGTCTGGTTTGAGGGTTGCTACTAAGTCCATCGTTAGCTGGACGTCGTTATCCGGAATGACGTTGAGCTTGTTTCTAGAAAGGAAACTGAAAGGACAACCGTGTATTTTGCTTTCTCTCTTTACCCCTCTCTTGTTCTTGTAACATTTTCTAATGCCTTTTCTTTCTTTACAGCTTACCTCTCTCTACCCTGGCCAGCGGACGCACCCCCGCCAACGATAGAGCTGCACGCCTGTCTTGTACTGGCTGGCGCTGGTGTACTTCTACTTCCGGTTTTATTGACATCAGCATTTCTCAAATTGGGAAATTTGGCTAACGATGGCGTAAAGCTCGGGAGACACCTCAGTACCTGCACTCGGGATCCTCCCACGTTGCTCACAAACAATCCTGACAATGGTAGGCTTTTTTGAAAGTCTTTACAATTTCTTTTGTATACAATATTTTTTAATGTCAATTTTATTCACATAATTTTTATCTGCTCGTATTTAGGTCTTGCCAGTAATCTCTGGAGACACGGTGGACCCACTGCAGCCTTTGTTCATCTTTGCACTGCCATGTGCTTTCTTCTTCCTTCTTTACTCATGGAAGCTCGTCTGATTCATGCTGGATTTCTACCAAAAGGTAATAACTCGGTTGATCTATTATATTTATTCTTTGTTCACTGTTGCCATCATGGAACAGGGTCCATTGTTAATTGTCTGGGGCATTTTGGTATTTGACTGATGCTTTAGAAGAGCAACTTCCAAATAAGACGACCAGCGACCAGCATATCTTAGAATATCATGGAACATCAGAGAATTGTCTACAGCCGTTTGCCAGTGGTGTTGCAAGCTGCACAATAGGGATGAAGGGACGTGGAAGAGGATGGAATTGATGCCCAGGAAGACCGGGTTTCCATGTAGAGCATTGTTTCCCAATAAGCCGTCTTCAGGAACGTTAACGTGGGAAAGTTCCTACAATGTAGGAAGGATTAACATTGTCTAAATCTGTACGAGGAACAAAACTTATCTCAGAGATAACCGGGCTTGGATATACGACTTACTTGAAATTAGAAATCTTGAAAAGTTACTGGATACCTTCCAACCTGCTAACTTTTCAGATTGGATGAAAACGAGGGGAGAGTGAAGATTTTTATTTTTTATTATTTTTTTTAACGAGCAATTATACCAGCTTGAAACTACCAGACAAAAAATCAATAGTGAAACTTTCGCTAATTCCAGTTGTAGGAATAATAATGGCTATGGGGTACCAACTTTAAAACGCACATGAATTTTTCTTGGTCAAACGACAATGAGAGAAATAATAATGAAAGACAAGAATTGAGGGGCAAATCATGGAAAATGATGAAAATATAATTTTCCAGTCTATGAAAGTAGCTATGAGGTACTCCAGGTATATTTTCAATAAAGTATCTTAGTATAAAGACAGCACTCTTTTTTGGATGATTTATCTTCATCCCTTAGACATACCTTTTACAGATAAATACATATATATCGACTGAGTCATAACACTTGTTTATATTCCTGCACGTGTCAAAATAGTTATGAGGGTGGTTTCCCTTTAAAAAAAAAAGAGCCCTACAATATTCTCATAATTTCACATGACCCGTCCAACGTTAACGCCCATGCGAGGGGTGGCAGTTAAAAAATTCCTATTTACGTTATTTCGTTTTAATTATGTTACGCAATTTTTTGCAAAAATTTTCATTTGCATTCTGGCACCCCCCAAGAATCTTTTTACGAGTTGCGCGGAAGGGTTGCTAAATGTGAACATAAAAATTCATATATTCAGTTAATTTCCTCACCTTGATCGTACCGCCATATAGGGTCTTCTTTAAAACCGTAACAATATCGTAAAGTAAATATAAATTATTGAACCCTTGTCAGTGAACGACTAGTTCGAGTTTAATTCATGGAATCAATTTACCACCTGACGTACTATCCGGGCTTACGTTTATGAGGGTAGTTTTTACGGTGCGCCAAACGGCCTCGGGGACCTTGACCGAAATTATTTTAACGACCATCCCCCAAATCTCGAAAGAATCACTTCAACCCCATCCCTTTATTTAAGAATAAAACTGCTGGAAGGAGTAAAATGGGAATTGGCCAAAAAGACGTTGCTTGGGGCTTTGGGCGAGGGCGTCGCTCTCGAGCTGCCGAAGGGTTGACTCTTTTTTTTATTGCCCATGCACGGAAGGACCTTCATCATCCCCTAGTCAGTGGTAGCAAGTCCCCGAAGGATTTCGCATGTCTTATATCGCCTTGGAGCCTAGAGATGACCAAAGAACAAAAAAAAAAGATCATGATCACAAGGATTTACCATAGCAACAAGAGAGGGTAGTACTTTTATATTTAGTGTCAATGGGGTGGAAAGCACCCTCGAGAGAAAGTCAGGCCACTTCGGCAGCCTTTCTCTGCTTTCAAACCGACGTCTCATTCGTCACTGTGCAAAAAGCACCTCTGATACCGGAAGTGGCTATTAATAATTTAAGAAAAATTGTAAATTTCGTTTCCATCGCAACGAGCCTGTAATTATATTTATGAAAATCCTGAAATATTTCGTTATAATAATAATAGTCATCTCAGCGTTACATAATAAATGACAAAATACAAATTCGGGCCCAGGTCCATGACGTAGACCGGGACCAGGGAGATGGAATGGAGAAACTAAATCATTTGACGTACAAGCCCCAGTGCAAATCAGGAGTTTACGCGGACGTCGAAATTCCCTTAAATACATTTACACTGAATTCGACGGGAAATACGAGGGAGACCGGAGATCCAAGTTCATTTCCCCCATATCCCGGGAAATCCGAGTTTCTCAAGCTTTTTTCGCCCTCTGCCCAACAATTCGTCTTTGCGTGACTCACCTCAGCTCTTTCTGTAATGTTTCTTTTATTTACGGTTCTCCGGGAGAAGAAAAAAATGATACACGGGAGAAACGAGAGTAATAATAAAAAGTCAAACTCTGTATCCGAATGGTCCATCCCTGCAGTGCAGTATATTCTATGGGTTCTACGAAACCTCCCATAACTATACTTCCCATCTCTTCGCCCCCCACAGATTACCTTTATCAGGATTCGAGGATTTCTGAGCAGCCAATAACTTTAATGGAGTTTTCTATTTTATTTATCGGATGAAATTCGCACGGGTTTCTCTTTTTTATATAACCATAGAATCCCATACGCCGCACCATCGATGTTGCATTGAATCGTTGTTATATGGGGTTAAGCAAAATTCTTGTGCGATTCCCCTCCCCCTCCCTCCCCATAAAAATTAATAGCAAATTTTATGAAAATTAACAAAAACCCTTATTGTTCCACACTTTGAAGATAAAAAATATTTATTTATGGTGGTTAACATTTTATTTTACAGTTTTCCCATAACACCTGCCACCCAACCCCTGTACCGTAGCGCCGTATCGTTACGGCAGGGTGTGGTGTGTTATCGTTATGCTATAAAGTGCTGTGCAACGTTGTACCATATAGGATACAAGGGCTGTAGCATATTCCATGGTGTACCCCATGTGGATGCCGGAAGATAGGTTGCGGTAGACGGGATGGTAAATATTGATTCCCCGTTAATTTGAAATGTTTCCCCATGGGCAAGGGTGGGCTGTATATTAGAAGCGTCGATTTTTTTTAAGCTCGTGGCGTATATTCAGCTTTTTTGTTTTTAACGAACTACGCTAAAAACCCATAATAAAGTTGGTACTGGTATATGTATATCACGGGGTCGGGGTTATGCCGACCAAATTGAGGTTATGGTATTCGATTTTGAAAACCATAGAAAATACGAAGATAGGGGTCGGTTCTTGTCTGACTGTAAGACCAATGTGAATTTCTATAGTTTTTTTTTCCTTTTTCATGGTTATTCATGGTGGAAAGTTTGGCACGCCTCCAATTAACGTTACATTGATTTCAACGATAAGATATTGCACGCGTGTCCCAGGGCTATTAATTAATTCGTTCGTGCTCGCGTGTAATTAATCAGTGCGCCGTAAAGGCGACATTTTGTATGGGGTTTCCGAAATTCACGAGACAATTAGCGCGAAGAGATCAAAATTTTTTTTTTCACTTTTACTACTGTAACGTAATTGTATTTTATTTTTATTAAGTTTCCGCACTTGTGGATTTAATTTTTTGGGGTCTTTTTTCATTTTTTTTTTTTCCTTATTAATCCATACCACTCGTGTCTTACGGTCGTAATATTATTCCGCGAGGACAAACGTAGTTTCGCTAAGTAGTACCAACTTGAGAAACTATAATTATGTAAATTTGTCCTTCCATTAAGGATATATATATGTTCGAAGAGTCCCATGTTTGTAGCGGATAATACTTCTAGCTTTCTTTGTCTTTCTCCTTGTCTTTTTGTCTTTCTTCTTCTTCTTCTTTGCTTTCTCTTACTTTTTGCTCTGACGGCCCTTCGACTGTCATTCCTTAGCTGGATAGTACCGAGGACTGTAATAACTTCCTGAAAGTTTGACACCCTGTATTATTTCACAATGTTCCTCGTATTTGGGTATTGGACTGTTGGCCAGCCGGAAATTATTTTGAACTTACAATTAGTATAAGACTGTTGAGTTAATGACGAAAAGTCATTTCGAAGTTATTCCCTAGACGTATATAAATTCCCTATATAATTGAAGTATATTTTCAGAGTTCAAAGGGGTTAATCATTAAAGTCTTTAATATTCGCAAGTGTCTGTTTTCAAGCTGTAGAAATTATTTTGGTAACTTTATACTCATTTTGAGATTATTATATATTTCTGTTAGTTTGGTAAACTTGGATTTTCTGGAATATGTATATATATATAATACAGCAGATATATATATATATATATATACATATACATATATATTACTGCCAACCACTGGCCACCAAATTAATCCCACGGGTACAACAGCTTCCTTAGTTTACGATACGCAAAGCATCCGTCTTGCTCAAAATGCCATGCGGCAGTGTTTCTCAAATTACCCAAAATCAGCCGCGAGATTAAATAACGTATCAGGCCTGGTAGACGAGATTTTTTTACTCAATTTCCTTATCGGATTGTAAGTTAAGAGAAAATTGATATATTCCAAAATATTTGAAATTGAAAAAAAAAGTGGATGGATTCTCATATCTTGACTCTTGTATTGAGACAGAGCGTTGGAGGAAGTGCTGGGTCAGTTTCTGCTGGTAGAAAATATGAAATATGATAAAAATGAAAATCTGCATTACCGACGCGTATAAATATTTGCCGAGGACGATTTAAGAGACTTATTTGAATATTATTCCTCGGCTGACAACCACTGACCTAGAGCCAGTTCGTGAAGTGCCTCGAGCGCGACACGAAATTGCTCTCGAGCATGCGAGTACTTGACAAAAAATGGGGCAAGTGCTGCTCCAAGCGGCCATACCGAATACCGAAGTACTAGCGATGGGCATTACATAGTTGCGCCTTTGAGTATTTAAATAAAACTTGAGTCAGGAGTTGCGGCGGCCTTTATTTTGGGGCGG